TTATAAAATAGTTAATGTTTTATAATTAAAAATAATTTAAATTATAAAATATTTTTTAAATATTAAATTAAAAATAAAAAATACTCATCTAATGACTATTATTTTATTATTTTGTAATTCAATATGGTTTTAACTACAAAATATCAGACATATGAATTTATATCTACCAGTAACATATATGGTCAAACAATTAATTATCTACTCTCTAAAAAAAAATTGGATTTATCAAAAATGTATTTAACTTCTTCGTTTCCTGGAATTTGGAGCTAAAGCTTAACTCCCACAAATCCCACAAAAATTCCCCTCTTTCCTCTCTTTTCACCATGTTTTTCCTTCTTTTCACCTGCTGCTTTCTTCCCTTCATTTTTCTCCTCGGGTTTGTTCTTCTTGTCAGTTTTTTTTTTTATCTCCATTGCCGGCATAGGTGGGCTTAGCTTTCTCCTTTTTTTGTTGAATACCGAATAAAAAAATTAAGTCCAAATCCAGGGAAATTTCAAGATTCATAGAGGAAGATAAGACGAGAAGAAGAATGTAGCAAACTCACCTCACCCATTCACTGAAACTTTTTTTTTTTCTTGAATATTGAATTGAGCCAAGGCAATTAGCAGAGAACAGAGAATTGTATGAAGAAAGAAATCGGAGGCAGGGGGAATTTATAGGAGAGGAGGGAGGGTCATGTCTTTATGGTCTGTGATGTCAATGATGGTATATGATGAGGAAGTGTATCCGTTACTCTACATCTCACAAGTGTATATGTTACGATGTTTATTTTTATTATTAATTAATTAAAAATAATTTTGTGATAACTGATGAAAAAGAAAATTTTGAATTGGGCTGGGCATGTATATATATAGAATGCTTATCCTATTTAATGCATAGGGTAACATTTTATATATATATAGATAACACAAATATGATTTAACTTTAGTTAAAAAAAATAACATGTAATATGTTATGATATTAAATACTTCATAAGTATATATAATATTTTGGGTTAGCTTTTAAATAAATAAAATTAATTACAAAATAATAACTCCTCCCACCTTGTTTTGAAGCAGGTAAAGAATGGTTATTCTTAATAGACCATGTTGCTGCTCTAATTAATTACTCCCAT